TTCACATCTGTTCTGGTTTGTCTCCAGCTTTCTTGCTGCCCGTGTCAAGGTACAAGGGAACTCCTTATGCCCCTCCTTGTTTTCTTCTTTCATTCCTTCTCCTGAACCCCATCCTCGATGACAGGATGTTTTATCCATCCCCACCTGCTACCCTTAGATACATCTCCATCCATAGCACTCATCCCTTGATGTTCACACCTGTTTTTTAGCAGCATCACGAGGGGTTTCTGGGTAAGTCCAGCTCTTCGTGCCCGGCTGAAAATGCCACACGGCAGACCCGAGTGCCCCTTGGCAGTGGGTCTGTCTGTCTTGTGCTGAAGGTGCTGACAGCAGGCAAACAGTGTTAGGGCTGTTCCTGGAACCCTTACCTGGGAATTTCCCAACTTTCACGTAGTTATTTAAAACCTCTCTTTGCGGCTGGAGCTTGTGTGAGGGGTGGTCACTTGATTCCACACCTTTCCCTGTTATCTGGAGCTTATGTGTTGACCTAATGATGGAGGCCAGGCTCACCTCAGCTCCCAGCCCTGGTGCTGGCTTGCTTGGTGGTTTTAGGAGGATGTAGAGTAGGTTGTAGCATCCCTTGGTCCCTGTGTGATGCAGCTGAGCAGCACCTCCTGCTCCGGTTGTTTGGTTGTTCCTCTCTGCCCCGGCTACCCCGGAGTGTTTTGAACTGAAGCCACTGGTTGATTCACTGGTGAACTTTGGCAGATGCACAAATATTTATTGGGGACTGAGCTGAGATAACCCAAGCACGTTGTCCCCGTGCTCAGCTAGCTGAGCTGAGTTTTGGAGCCGTGATCTGATAGATGTGGCTTCCCCGAGTCACCTTCCCCTGTGACTGTGAGAGAAGCGATTCCGTGAAGATCAGGGTTAACCCGACCCCTTGCAGTGGCTGTTTATTGAAAGAACTTCTCAGCCTTGCCTTTTGGAGCAGTTGGTGGAGATGCCTTCATCTTGCTGTGTTCAAAGCACGAAACACAAAATGAAGGCTGTGCTGTCATTACAGGGTCTTTAGGGTAATGCGTATTCATGCTGACTTGGGAATTGAAAGCTGCTTGCAGGTGTCAGGAGGAGAAGAACAATCCGGCTTTCGAATCAAAATTCATTGAATTATCTTTAAAGCTTTTTTGCATCATTCCTCCTCCCCTGTAACCTGTTTTTTCCTGTCCTATTAATTCACTGATGCTGTAGTCCGTCAAAATTGAGGCTCTTACGACATCGGGAACATGAGTCGGTGACACGACCAAATGAATCAGAGGAGGCTGGAGAGGAAGCTCATCGCACACGTACAGTCTCCTCCTCATCAGCAAAAATGGGACAGGATCTGCAGAACGCCCTGAACTGCTCAACTCCTGCTCAGTGTTCTCCCCGCTGACCCCAGCGTGGCACCTCCCGTTCGAAAGCAAGGGGGGACAAAGAGACACTGAGTGTTTTGGCCCGTGGCAGTTTCCTTTCAATTATTTAGGGTAGCTTTTT